GATAGATACTGAGACTTCTTGAGATGGGAGGGAAGCAGAGCGAAGTCTCTTTTGGAATAGCAGTAGAAGGACAAGGGATGAAAGAAGATGAGGTAGTATGGAGAGAGGCGTGGAGGGTGTTGGGAGGGAGGAAGGGGTGTATACTGAAGGTAATAAGTCGTAATAACCTGTGTGTATGATTCTGAATGGAAAGAGTTGACAGCAAACATCGAGGAGAGTGTATTAGTATCAGTGGTCGAAGCCGTGGTCAAAGGAGAGGCAAGGCTCGGGAAACTAATGAGATCAAATTTAGATAGGCTAGTTAATGAAGGGGCAAATAACGAATCTTCCCTAAACCTAACTAAAAAGAAAAATAACCTAATCTGACCTACCTAACCTATTTTAGCTAACCTAACATAAACATAACTAACTTTAAACTAATCTAAACTTAAACTAACTTAACATATATATAATCTTAGCTAAACATAACCTAGCCTAACCTAACCTAAGCCTTGCCAAACGAAAACCTAAACTTATCCTAACCAAATCTAACCTAACCTACCCTAACCTAAACCCAGTCTAAACTAACCTAAAGCTAGCCTACCCTAACATAAGCACAACCATTCAAACTCAGTCTAACTATTCTAACTTAACCTAAACTATCTAACCCTAACCTAACCAAACCCAAGAGAGAGAGTGGGGGAGGAAAAGAGAGAAGTGAACGAGAGAAATATATATATATATATTGTTTCTCTGATTATTATTATCAATATTGTTTTTTTTCATTATCATTAAAACCATCATCATTATTATTTATTTTATTACTCTTATATTCGTCATTAATTTTTCATAAACATCAGTATTTGATTTATTTTCATCCCTATTATTTCTTATGTTAGTATTAGTAATAATATGGATCATATTATGATGTATTATTATGAATCATAATATCATTACTTATTATTTTGTGTGTATCATGATCAGAATTAACTCTCCTAACACTCCTGTGATAAATGAATTGAAAGTGAAAGTCTTCCTTGTTATTTTTTGTTCAAATCTTCACACATGATATACTGGTAACAATTTATCTAACAGTATGTGTGCAATGAAAATTATATTAATCCACATGATTTTTAACCAACTCCATCAACCCAGAAATCTTATCCAATATCGTAAATGGGGAATGGCTCATGGCATAAGCAATATAATATATATAAGCAACATCCATACCAAAGAGAAGCAAAACCAAATACCGGTAAAAAAGTAAAACGGATAAGCTAGAATATGCAACTAACAGAACTCTCTTGGAGCAAAATTATAATGTATATTATTCTGCATAAAATAATATATTCAATACCTTTGCAAAGTGTATTTTAAGTAAATATTACCTGCATATGTACAATGTACATGTAACTCTACACATTTTATAGACAGGATGCATGTTTCAAAAATGCAAAAAAATATTGTAACATGTTGGAGCTACGACCAAGGCAGAGGTCAAAATCCCCAGCATAGCAAAGCTCAGCACTGGCACCTCTCCTTGGCTGCTTCTGGCATCGCACTATTTAAAATCTCACTCTGAAAGGAAAGAAGCATTTAGTCCGAAACATGGCATAAAAAAATATATATTTATTAATTAAGATGACTTTAACATTCCAAATATATGTTAAACACATTTCCCTATGCTTAATATTGAATAAATACCAGTTGCTGATACTGTGATAATAAAATTTAAATATACTGTCCCTTTACAAAATGTAAGATGTGTTATTAGGCAGTGCATTTCAGCAATGTCGACTATTTTAACTGAACTTGGTCATGTGATTAATAAAGGCATGCAAACTGCCTATCCTTTGTCATATTTCATACTAGTTGATGATATATCTAAAGTGTCTCCCCGCAAAGCAATTATATGTTAGCTGTTGAAATACATATTCAGATACAGGAAGAATACATAAACAATTGAAAAGAAAATGCAAACAAAAAACACTTATTCAGAGAGCAGATAATGCAGATGACAGCTTATTAGAACTAGAGATTAAGCAACTGAAAATACAGCAAGACTCACACTCACCAGCCCACCAGAGGCTGCCTGCTATCTTTTAGTTTAATTATTATTAATTATTAAGATTAAGAGAAAAAAAGTTATATTTCAGATAAATACTTAAAAAATGCTGAATCACCCTAGTCTCAGTTTCCATACAAGGAATGCTACGGGAATTTCAAGTGACCACGATAAAAGAAAGGATGAATTAAATAAATTCCAAACTTGAGCCCTGATTGAGGACATATTTGCCTGACACTGCATGAGTGTATGGAGGTGTATAAAGTGGAGAAAGCGCAAAAGATCTGTCTCATTTCTGGATAACCCAAGGTATGGGGCTTAAGATGGCCCATTAATTCATTATTTTCTTGATGAACTCAAGGCAAGAATGCAATTTTACCATGGTTTAGTGAAAAAATATATGAGCATACGGCAGAGGATACGGCAGTACAAAAAAGGATTCACACTGATCATGTGCATTTCCATGAATGTAACAGTTTGTTCACGTTTCAAGCTTGTAACGCAATGAATCCCATGAACATGTTCCACAACACGAGAAACAACTTAGAAGAAATTGAGATGAAGGGCCAAAAGAATTGGGACCTCATCGGAACCAAATCCTAAACACAAAGGACTACCGAATGAGAAACAACAACTATGGATAAGGTAAAATAAAAATGGAGAATTAGATGTTTACCTATCAGGAATTTCGACAAAACATATTAGACTAAAACACTACATGGACAAAGCCTTGAAAATCACCCTCCATGCAGACATGGAGAAGAAACAATAGAACATTTGTTCCACTTGGAACAAAGAAAAGGAAAATAAAAATCTAATCTAATTGCAGGTCCAGATCCACCGCCAACTAAAGGTACTATATTCTGAGACACAAAGACATTTCTACAATGAGCACATTACATATAAGCAACAGTGAAAATCGAAAGAAAAGAATAAAAGGGATATAGATACGATTAAAAGCCTGTAATAAGAGAAGAAATGGGCCTACATTTAGTAAACTGATGGCTATTAGTTTCATAATTGTATTTACATTTTCACCCATTATTTTCACATAAATTATCGTTATTATTATTTTTCTTTTATACATAAAGTAAACGTTCACTGAGAGAGAGAGAAAAAAGTCATTAATGAATGACACATCCACTTTTCCACTGAAGTTAAAAAGATATGAGATTTCATTCATGTTCTTTCCTGAAGTGGAAAGATGCAAGAGATGAGTCCGCCTACAACCCAACCCGAGGCACCAGACTCACTTCACTGGTTTCATGTGAACAGAGAAGAAACTTACCTCCAGATGATTTCTTCGTCACACCTGTTGTGGAGAAGAAATGTCAGAATTTAACATTGCCTCGACAGATCACACAGGAGAGCAAAGGGTCAGTGACTTAAATAAAGAAATTCTGGAAAGTGAACCAAATCATAAAGATCAACACTTACTTAATCAAATCATTAACTACTTTGAATATCTATGACTAGACCTGTCAGCAAAACTTAACTTCTCAATAAACATCATTTAAAAGGAAACCTTGGTAACAATATCATTGTCTTGTCTATATTATTGAGTTCTTTTTCTATCCCAGACTATTTAAAAAATGCATTCCTACAATCTTTAAATTCCTTAAATGTCTGTCGCTGAACTTGGCTGAAGAATTTTACTTGTCAAAAAGTTTTTTTTTTATCATATTGTTGCCTTTATTAGTTCTTTACATTTTCCTCTATTATCACCTTTTCTCACTCTCTATTTATTTTTCCTCTTTTTCTTCCCTTCTCTCTGCCTCTCTTTCTCCCTCACCTCCTCTCTTTAACTTCAAACCTGGGGCGGGATACTCAAAACAGTTTACAATGTTGTATCTCGCATCGGAGCAGATGCAATGTTGAGAGAGAGATAGTGAAAGAGAGAGATGGAGACAGAGAGGTATATAAAGAGAAAAAGAAAGAAGCGAAATCACTTACGTCACAAAGTCACAGCCCAACTCCCTTCTCACGAGGCCTTTCAGCCGCCCTGCTTTTCCTCCGTCGATTTCGGGGGACACAACCACTCCCCCACCGATCCCCCCCCTCGCACGCCGCAACCAGACTCCCTCGCGGGCGAGCTGCTCCACGAGGCGAGCGAGAGCCTCCTCCTCCTCGGACGCCCCAGGGAAGAGGAGCCAAGTGTAGCTGGAGGGAAAAGCGAGCGTTGAGAAAAGAGAGAGAGAGAGAGACTCTTCGTGCTCTGACGCGCCAGGAAGTAGAGCGTTGAGAAGAGAGAGACAGAGAGACTTTCCTGCTATGGCATGCTAGGGAAGAGGAGCCTGAAGTACCTGGAGGGAAAAGCGAGCGTTGAGAAAAGAGAGACAAAGAGAGTATGACTTTTAAAAGTCTGAGCTCCAGCTGGCGCCACACATAAAAATATTAGCAAATATATAGATCAAACCAATGCTCTTTATATTACTCAAAATGGCGCATATATGCCATACACTCTGATATCCTCCTACAGCACACGTGAACACGCTCATTATCAATAAAACATCAGTGGACATTTACCCGCTCATTTATGCTCATCAATTTATTTCATATTCATAATACCTTTAAATGTAGGCAAACGTTGCTTCTCTCAGGGGAAATAACCTACTGTGCTGGAGTAACACATAAAATAAACATAATTGCAGGGGATACAATTACGAAAAAAAAAAATAATAATGCGATGGCCTTTGCTGGAACGTTAACGTCTATTGCAATTCATAAATAGGCCTGCCTTGAAATTAGTGAAAATACAGTTTTCTTCGAGATAATTACACACTGTAAAAAAGCAACGCATATAAAGGCTCGGTTACATAAAAGGTTGTCAGGCATCAGAAGAGTCAAACCATGCAATTCAGAGCTTGAAAAAATATATATACACTCCTGGTATGATAATATATATATATATATATATATATATATATATATATAATTTATTTATGAAATGATAATGAAAGTTTTTTTTTTTTATTTATTATGAAAGAAATACCTTTCTATATAATTTAGGTAAATGCAAATCAGTTGTATGATTTGCCTTCCACTACAATGCAGACAAATATTATAATGATAATGGCAATAATTAGGAACACACAAATGGATTTAATGAATTAATAGGTAACCCATAATACAAAAAAAGAAACAAATACCAGTAAAATATTTTTACTTCATTCATCATTAAATCTTATCTTGTATAATAATCTAATAGTATTCATAATTGTGATTAATAAAACATAAAAATGGTGAAATTTAGGAGACCTGTATATAATCTACTTGTCTTGCATCTGTTACTATGCATTATATATATATATATATATATATATATATATAATGCATAGTAACAGATGGAAGACAAGTAGTTTATATACAGGTCTCCTAAATATATATATATATATATATATATATATATATATAATGCATAGTAACAGATGGAAGACAAGTAGTTTATATACAGGTCTCCTAAATATATATATATATATATATA